CTAGAAAGATTTTGAGTTTTACCCTTGCTTTTCTTTTGATTGCAGTCGCCCTGCTCGAATGATCCATGCAAAAATAACGGAACTTGTATCCCGAATTACAAAGAAAATACGTATAGTTGTATTGGCACCCCTGGCTATAGGGGTCGTTATTGCAGCAAAGGTGAGCAAAAAAACATAGATAGATGGGCAAATAATAATAATGGTAATAATAGAAAAAATAATTATAATACTAATAGTAATAATAATTTTTTAATAATAATTTTATTCACTCTAATCATCAAAAATATTTACAAACAAATTAAGATAAAATCCTTAAAAATCGAAGAATACATGAAAATGTCGACTAACAAAAGATCTAAAAATCCAAATGGTGCACGTTTCGATTACTAGTTGAACTTTAAGAAAGTAGAGAAAAAAATCATAATATTAATAATGATAACAGTTCTAATCACTGTTTTTTAAAAACGGTAAAAGGAAAACGCTATGTTTAAGTTATAAGTTATGAAGGCAGGTCCAATTCAGCTAAGACTGGTTTAAATGGAAGCTTGTGTACTAACCCACCCATCGCGCCCAAGGGAAGGACATCATCCATCACACAGTAATCTCGTGCGTGGGAAATTAACGTCTCAAACACCTAACCCTGCAGGAGACGGGACCTCCACTTATTCGTCCCTATCCGTGAAGACTACAATATCTAACCATTTCTTGATGTTATTGGAAAGGCAGCAAATTCTTCTCAATTATTTTTAGACCTTGCGTGTTGGTCCGGCCTGGGCTGGAGCCCTCGACCTCCCGCACAAGTCTAGCGCTCTATCCATTGAGCTAACTTAAAAAAATCAAAGGATTTCAATAAACCATATTGTAAAGTAGATAAAGAAATTAGTATTTTAATACACTTTTCAAGAAAGAAAACATGATAATGTGGCATTCACCCTCTTGTTTTCGTTCGAAACATGATTTAACCAAATTTCTACATTCAATGAAGACCTTGAGTTTTTCTCAATCTTTGAAGAGTGTAAAAGATTCTGCAATAACAGCAAAAACTAGTCTTGTAAAAT